TGTAGTCGGCCGAGAAATGCTGGGCGACAAGGACGCAGTTCTTCAGACGGTATGCCATGAGATGTGCTGTGCCGTCTGTAGAGTAAAGCTGCGTTTCGCGATACAACGCCGATGCGAGAATAGCATCGCGCAGGGAACTATCCAATCTTGATTGCTTCTGTATGTCATATATAATGAATGAACGGTACGGCAGCTGAGATAGAGTCAGGCGCTGGTGCAACACTCGCTGTATTTCCTTATCAAAGGCATCTAGCCTGAAAGTCAGTTCATGGCCGTTGCAGTCAATGTATTCTTGTACTCACGACACACGAGCCGAAGTTCTAGCACTTTCCGCATGTCATAACATTGCCGCTCTTTGTGCTGCAAGTATGGGTCCACGAGATAATGAATGATCTCACTCCACAGCTCCACCGGCAAAGCTTCTATACCATTGAGACATGATGGCGGAATCTGTCTCAACCTCTCTTTCGCCTCTTGCGCAAGTCTCGCTTTTTCTCGCGCTCTCTCAATCATGCGAATGGTGTATACGGCAGGAGAGCCGATGGCGCAAAGACTACCCATGAACCCATTGAAGATTAAGATCGGGATCTCGGGGGTGATATAATACCGTTCTTGCAGAAAGATATACAAGGTCCTAGAACCCAAAGTTTTGCCATCAGGATACATTGCGGTAAGAGAGCATGCTGGGCCCACCAACTCGTGGGTGCGATGTACAGAGTTAACGAATCCTGGTGCCTATTTCCCAGCCATCGAACACGCGTCCGTGCTTGGCTGCCCGTCGCTCCTTCCACAACTTCAGAATAAGTAGACGGCGGCTCTTCGGTTAACTTGCGAAAATATTTTCAAGAATATCTATCATGAACACTATGCTCATCTTGAAATCGCTCGTTCGAAAGCCACTAAATATCTTGAAGCATGAAACCCCATCTACCCCAATACCTACATCACAACTCGCAGACATTGTCGCCCTCCCTACGGAACTATGGAGTATCATCATCGATTACACAGTTCTCCAACTCATAAACGACGACACACCTCCACTTGACGACCTCACAAAAGCCCTTTATCTACGACTTGTATGCCGTGAGTCTCTACTCTGCACGCAGACACTAACGCAGTCGGGCCAACTAATTCCTATTCCAGGGATATTCAACAAAGAAGTCCTACACGCCTTAAACACAAACATAACACTCGCACACTTCCCTCGTACATCAACCGCCTACTTACTCCTTTGGTGGTCTCATAACCAACGCAAATCTGGCCTGCATACCACCCTCTTTACCTCTGCGATCCTGAACACAGCTCATACAATGAACCTCCCTATCGTCTCTCATAAGCTAGCTGCGCGTCTCCTGAATTGTCTCACAGTAGCCGAGAGTCTAGCCAGGTTACATCACGCGCCGTTTCATGAATACATCGGAAGCCTGGAAGAACCTCCGTTCTGGGATTTCTATGCGGTGGATAAGCTGCACCGATTATGTCGCGCAGCAGCACTATCGACCTGCTGTCAAGAGTACATGTACCGACCTGAACAGTTTTACGCTAGATATGGGGAAGAGGGGAGGCTAAAGGCAGATGTGTGTCTAGAGGTTGCGCTGTTGGCGGCTTGTGGATATGAAGTCAAGAGAATTAAGAATGTGATGATTCGGCTTGCGAAGGCAGGGGCGCTAATAGGGCACGAGACCGTAGTCAAGAGGTGAAGACGATGGTTTTGAAGACGAAGAATATACTTTATCATTCTTGGTATCAACTAACACTCTCACACCGTTCAGCCAAGTGGCTCTTCTCTTGATATTGATTTTGGCGCTCCTGCCACTATGGATCACCCAGATACACGTTCTCATAACTCTTTCCACATCCTCATATCGTCTGACTGGGTGTCGCAGGTGCCTCGGCGTTGGGATGAGGTCGTGGTTGACTTGGCTTGTCGATTTGTCGCTACTTCTGAATTCTGCACGTTTACCAATCATCTTTGTCGGACTCATCGTCTGTAAACACGTCAAAATACTGCTAATCCAGCAAGAATGATTGTACTTACCACTGTGACTAACTTTTGACTTCCTTGCCGCAAGAGCACTAGCCAGTGCTCCAGCCAAGCCAGCATCTCCAGGTTGAGCTGCGCCACTGGCTCCTCCAGAAGCTCCGCCAGCAGGTTCTGCACCAGGAACTGCCGCTGCACTGCGGTCCTTTTTCTCTGTATCTGAAACCTTCTTCAATCTCGCTCCTCCTCGAATATCCGCTAACAAGCCGTCTCGCCCTGGCGCTGGTTTGGGCAGAGGCGCGCCACCGCTCGGTGGGGGCGGTGGGCCAGGTGGAGGTGGTGCCACAGCGCTTCGTGAAGGCATTGGCGGCGGCGGCGGAGGCACAGAGCCAGGAGGCATTGGCGGTGGGGGCGGTGCGCCTGTGCTTGGCATAGGGGGTGGAGGTGGTGCTGAGCTGTTGGGCATCGGTGGAGGAGGAGGAATCGATCGTCCGGGCATGGGCGGCGGCGGAGGTGGTGGTGTCGGTGCTACATTGCTTGTTGGGGGTAGAGGTGGTGGAACTGGTGCCGCGCTCGAAGGAGGTGCTGGTGTAGGTCGAGATGAAGATGGCGGTAGCGGAGGAGGCGGTGGTATGTTGTGGACAAGCGGTGGTGTCGGGGCTGCCGATGACTTGGGTGGGAGTGGAGGAGGCGCGGATGGCGTGTCTCTCGCAGGAGGCGGTGGAGGAACTGGCCCTCGGCTTGGGGGTGGTGGAGGTGGGCCGGAGGGTACGCGGTTGCCTGTGAAGGGCGGAGGTACACCGAACTTGCCTCCCACTGGCCTCTCTTCGTCGGGTACGGGTGTCTTGGGCGGGCGCGGCGGCGGTGGAGGACCTGGGTTGGCTGCGTTGGATGAGGCTCGCGACCTGCCTGGTGGTGCAGGAGGTAGATTGGCGAACTTTCCTGCTTCCGCAAGTGGTGGAGGCGCCCTGAAGACTGGTTTGGGCGGTCCTGGAGACGGCGAAGCTTCGCGCGGTGGTGATGGCGGCGCAGGACTTCCTGAAGAGTTGCGATTAAGGGCTGCGTCTGTCCTCGTTCTTCGCGCTGGCGGAGGTGCGGGCGGAGGCCCTCGCTTGGAGCCGCCTGTGTTCTGAGGGCTGAGAGATGCGGCCATGGGAGGCGCACTCGGTGGTGGAGGCGGGGGCGCTCTGGACTTGCGCTGGTTGTTCTCGTCCTTGAGCTTCTCCTCTTGCTTCCGCTGCTCAATGTATAGCTTGATGAAATCGGCGTTTTCTTCGATCTGGTCCTCGGTGATGCCCATGGCCAGCAGTTCCTTCAACAGCGGCTGCCATGATGGGTCGGTAGTGTCGATGGCGGAGTTGCGAGCGCTTGTGGCGTTGGAGTGGGTGCTTTGCACAGGCGATGTGACGCTGACGGGTGGAATAATGGACGCTGGCGGCGGGCCAGGTGAGGAAGAATGGCGGTCACGTCCGGTGAGCCTTCCCAGCAGGCCGTGGCCATGGCCTCCGCTCTTTCCGTTGGCTGAGGGCGCGCTGGTGCCGGCGGATGCGCTGAAGGGTTTGTTCTTGGTGTTCTTGTGGGCGTTCTTTTCGCGGTCGTCGAGCTTCTTCTTGAAGGTCTTGGCCTCCTTCTCGTCGGCAAAGGACAGGCCGGCGAGGCAGTCCTCGAGCTCGAAGGTGTGGAAGAAGACGCGGTCCTGGTTGTACGAGAAGGTGTCGTAGATCTCCTGGTCCCAGATGACACCGCGACTTTGGGGCTGCATCCGTCAGTCGTGCATTCTGTGCTGCGGCGTCCCTCGCACCTACCGATATGTCCACCATCTTGAGCCAGAAGGTGTTGCCGACCAGGTCGTTGGCCAGCACGACGGCGCCCTGCAGGCCCGTGTAGGTCCATCGGTGCCGGTCCGGGTAGGCGATGTACAACTTGGCGACGGCGACGGTGTGGATCTTGTTGGCCGACTTGGGCACGGTGCGCTTGACCGTCTGCTTGTCCTCGTCGGAGAGAATCGAAGGCATTGCGGCGTGCTTCGCGACCTCGAGCGCGGAATTGGAGGAGGTTTGGGCGTGCTCGAGTGCTCAGCCGTTGGTTGGGCTTGGGCGTGGCTGGTGGGGCGTGCTCCTCACTCCACTATTAGGCAGCACATGGGAAGAGTCGCAGTCGCTTGGTAAGCCAGTCGAGGCTGCGTGCGGATGGCGAGGTGAATGCTGAGGCGCCGCGTGGAGATTGCCACGGTGTTGGTAAGAAGAATGGCGGTGCTGGTGAAGGGGAGACGTCACTTGCGGCTAACCACCCGACTGGGCGGACAAGGGAGAAACCCATCCAACGCTTTCTGCCCCGTCACGTTTGCCGACCCACAGCAACCTCATCCGTAGTCTATGGATCCATACAGCGACTTCAAATCATCACGAGATTCCACTTTCACTCTGCTCTTGGAAAATGCAACATTGACCCAAGATTCCCGCCATTGCACTCGCTGAAGGCATTGCGACTCTCTCACGCGACATTGCGTCCTCGAAGCAAATGCGGGACCAGTACCCTGTCAAGATGACGACGTCTCAAGCTCCTTTATGCCTCCGCTTCATGCATACATTTGTATGAGAAGACATGCACGCACCCAGAGTTCATGGCCTCTAGCGTCAATTGTCTTTGTAATGCTCGGATCCAGCGCCGCTGACGCCGACGTTCCGACTACAAGGCCTCCAGCGAACGATGACACCTTGACGGCTTGGCATCATCCCAGTCGATTCAGGCAACACCACCGGTGACATGGAATAATGTAGATTGCAGCATCACATCTATTTCTTTACTCGGCACACTTGCAGTCATGGACGATTTGTTTGATGGCTACATTGTGTTGGACGGCATAGGCGACTTCCTTGGGAGCAGCGTTCCTGCCAACGATCCCAAAGCACCTGACGATGTTCCGCAAACGATACACCATGCAGGAGTATCGAAGCAACCCATACGACCAAAAGAAAACAATGTGAATGGATCTGACCAATCGTACGCTTCTCACGCGATGCACAAAACTATACCTAACTCACATCTAGCAGCACCACCGCCTCTAGCGGCGACACACCCGCACCGGCAGGGTTACGACAGCGACGCGGGCACACTAAAAGTCGTCTGGGCTGCATCCCGTGCAAGCGACGTAAGATCAAGGTACCGCATCCACTTGCCAGTGCCTCATCATATCACTAAACTGTGTTAGTGTCCAGAGACATGGCCTTCATGCGCGAACTGCGACAAGCGCGGACGTAAGTGTGGTGTTGCGAACTAAGATCAATATCTCACCAACTATTCTAGTGGTTTGCAGATACCCCGATGTATTCAAGCACGCACGGCGTGACTACATCGAGTCGGCAGTGTCAAGTCCTCGTCAAGTTGTTAAGCTTTCCGACACACCTACTATCTACAGCTCAGAAGATATGCAGCTGTTTCATCACTATCTCGTCTCAGCACATCCTTGGATCCCGCACGACTGGGAAGAGCTTTGGGTCACCGATGTTCCGGCAGCGTGCCATAAAGTGAGTGCAACCTCTGGCTCACCGTGCAAGAGACCTAACATCACTGACTACGCAGTACCCATATCTCATGGATGCTATGCTAGCTCTTGCTGGATCTCATCTTGCCGTTCAAGTTGAAAATCCACAGACTGCTCTGGCGGTCCAACATCGACAAAAAGCCATCGTTGGCCTCGAGGACGCCTTCGCTAATTGGCCCCCGACGGCTGAGGAATCGTATATCATGTTAGCAACTTCTTACCTACTGTGCTTCCAGTCAAGCTACATAGGTGACGGTTTTCTCGAACACTTCTTATCTTTGCGGGGATGCTCATTCCTCTCTCAGCTTATCATAGGCGAAGGCTTTCGCAGCCCTTTCTCTACACAGAAAGGCCTGGACACTATAGCTATGGACACCGCATTTACCAAGTTCCCTGAAGTCGACCAGGAACTTTTGCACGAGGCTCTACTGTCTTTGAAACTCCTTTCCAGCATAATGGATGGAACTGGTATACATTCCATCGAGAAGGCCATTGTTGGCCAGCTCACCGAAACACTTCGACTCCTGCTGCACTCAGACCTGGAAATCGAAACTGACGAACTCCCAATACCTCGTGACTCGCCGTTGGGTCTCTTTCCGTTCGCTAACCCGATCTTACCACAAGACTTCGGGCTCGCGTTTGACAACATCGACTGGGAGAATGTTACGGATCCACTTCCTGGCGCTCCATACCCCATCCGGTCTTTTGCAGCTATGATGGTCATCCTCACGATCTTCTCAACCTGGCCACACGAAGCACTCATGCGCATGTTTGACCGCACAAATCAGCTCGGCAACGTCATCATGGCCCACTTTTGCGCGGTACGATTCATTCTATCGTCGATAGCTGCTCCAAAAATGGCTTTGAAAACTCCTACAAGGGCGACTGTTCAATGGAACGCTCTGATCATGGCAGCTATAGATGATGATGAAAGTGGAGAATGGACGAAATATGTGGAATGGCCAAGAAAGATATTACGATGTATGGAGGCTTGTTGTGAGAGACACAAAGGCTTTACCATGGATGACGTGCGCAGTATGCTGCTGAATGATCCTGGGGCGTTCAAAGAAGGAAGAGCACGGAGATACTGATCGTCTAAAACAACACGGCTTGACACATCTGGTCGTCTAATCGCTCTCCACTCTGGCTGTATACACTAGGAAGGATTTACCCACTTCTTGTTTCTAGATACGTATTCACCCAAGTTCATCAGTGAAACTTTCGATCCGTGCAGTACCGCGCATGTGCCCGTACAATACGCCAGCTTTACACCTGCGTACTAGCAATATGGTTATTACGAAAGAATCGCACCAGAACGTTTGCTCAAGTGAATAAAAAAACCATACAGTCGGAGCTCGTTGGCTAGTCCCCGCTATCGCTCTCACCTTCTTCGACCGCGACCAAGAAGTACTCCAACTCTCATTCTCCCGCGCAAAACGAAAGAACCCAACGGCTACCGGAAATAACAACAACCACCATCTTCGCCATGCTAGAAGCTCTTGTGATGGCCATCCTGAGGTTTCTGGCTCGCATCCTACTGCTATGCATCAACTTCTGGACTTTCATCACCAATCTACCTGCGAGATGTACACGCCTTGTGTTAGCCCTCCTTAATTTCGAACCAATCGCCTGGCTCGGTTCGGCTATAGCGCTTGCCCTATTCATGATGGTTCGCACAGGTTACCGGACGATTCTGGAAACCGCGAAGCTACTCGCCCTCAGAGAGGAGCTTGAGGCTGAGCTCGAGCGTCATGTCGCGCTCAGAACAATCAGATGTGCGTATCTTTTCACTTATATTGGACAAGTAACTGACGTTACACAGTCAATCGGGTGCGCGCGGGTACTTACGACGAGGGAACTGTCGTGCAGGGTATCCACATCATTGCAGCGGACAAGTGGGACATGGTTATCTGCGGAATGGAGATTGCGGGTGGACGGCGAGATGGGCATTATTGGGCTCGCATACGTGGAGCTGATGAGTGGATCAAGTTCGGAAGTCAGCTCGTCATCAACGGCAATGATGTTACCGAGGAGGTGGTGAAGTCAGGCGGGCACGTGGATCTCCAATGGGCAGAGACAGAGACACCACCAGAGTACAGACATCCCATAGAGTAGAAACGGGACGTAACGTGGTAGCCAAGTACACAGGACACTTGACGACTACCCAGTCGTCAGCCCAATTCTATTCAAGCATACCGGTTCTACAATCCTAGCCTTATCATCGCATTTACATCTGCACCCCAGCTCTTTCCTCCCATCCCCATCACTATCCTCATACCTCGGTATCTTGATCCCCTTCGCCTTCTCCTGTTCTGTACTCGCAAAAGTACAAACCTGCAAATCATCATGTATATACCCCCAATCACTAAAATGATGCAATTCCTGCGGCTGCAACAACATAGCTGCAGCCAGCGAATGTACAGGTGCATCACCCCACCTCTCGTAGTAGAACCCGCCGTCACGGTCTAGATAATCGAACACGGCTCGATACGCATCCCCACGGAAAAAATCCATATCCGCAATCTCGAAATTCGACCAAAAGTGACACATATTCCACAAATCACCCCGCTCATCCCTATTGCGCAGCGCAGCCAGCATGCGACGAAAGGGCCACGGCATCCAGCTTGCGTCGATCATGGCAGTCCAGAGCGTGGAGGTGGGGAGGCGGTATTCGTTCTTGTAGAGGGAGAGTTTGCGGAAGAGGGAGGGGACGGTCTGGCCGCGCTCCCAGAGGGCGGTTGTGTAGCCGTAGCGTTTCTTGTGGCGGGCCATTTCGACAAAGGGGTCGTAGGTTATGGCGCAGGTGAAGGAGATGCTGGGCTCGACGCGCCAGTAGTATTTGTAGGGGAGGAGGGCGGGGTGGTCGTAGAAGAAGCTGTGGGGTTGTTGTCAGTGTTGTGCGCTGGGTATGGGGCAGAGGCTTGAGGTAGACGTTGCGACGTACCCAGATTGGAAGCGACACATGTGGTGGTAGCTCTCTAGTCCTCCGTATTGTATACCCCGGTTCTTCATATCCTGCATGCTCTTCTTTGCGCGGGCTTGGTCGATCCATTCGGGATACCCCCACATCTCCTTGGGAATGACTTCGAACTTGACGTCTGCGCCTTCTCCGACTGCCTTGCCCACCTTCCGCTTGAAGTCCTCAGTCCACTCCTCGTCATTTAGGAAAACCCAGGGATACCCAAAGTTGTCGTTGAACTGCTCCTGCACGCTTCGCACGCTCGAGACTGCACCCTTGACCTCCGAGTTGCGTGCGAGCATCATGAACACGGCAGATTCGCGTGCGGTCGTATTCAGGACGGGGTCCTGACATCCTGTGTAGAAGGGCGCATCGAGGGGCGGCGACGGGCGAGGGACATCGTATTTGTGTACGTGGACGTACGCTTCAACGAGCAACAAAGAAGCGATAGCCAAGATCAACTTCCAGTGTGACTGCGCTGTGCGCGATAGTGAGCGTAGCGGATGGCTCCCTGGTCGCGTAAGAAGTTTGGGCATAGCGACGAACCCATAATGTTTGACAGGAAGTCGAGAGAGGACACCGTGCGAAAACGCGATGGGACTGCCCAGCCCATTCCTTCTTCACGGGTGGCTGCAGGATAGCCATCATAGTTGCTGCGCCCGTCCCCTAAGGCCAGATACGGCTTAATTGTCCGCCTGAACAGGGCCGTTCTAGCCGTTTGATTGATGCATCCCCGGACCCCATGGGCGTTAGCAATTGACGGTCAGAGGAACAAACACACGCTTGGATCTGCCCTTTTACTAGGGCGGGACGAGCATGATAGGGGCATATGGATATCAATGAATGATGTAAATTAGATGTCTGGCACAAAGTCCAGGTGCTGCTCAGTGTGGTACGGTGATGGCAGTACCAACTTAACAGCCAAGGGACCTCGGAAGTAGATGCATGGCTGCCTAGCCATGTCAGGTTAGCCCAGGGCTGTCAGGGAGCCTAAACTCGAAAGAGACATGCATGTGTTTATGTGCAAACGGCGATTGAGACAGCTTTCTTGAATATGTGTGATTGATTACGATGCTCTAGAATGGTATGGGGATAGTGCGGCCTTCTGGGCTTGCGAAGTGCTGTAGCTGCTTGCGACTATGCTTTGCCTTGTGCGACCACATCTATAGGAACATGTCGGAGATCAATGTCTACGGCAACACGGACATTGAGCTGTAGAATGGATGCATTGAAGGTTCGTTTGGTCACTGCATTCGTAAAGCAACATCTTTGTGCCCTCTGAAAGAACGTAAACTACCTAGGTACCTAGGTAGTAGGCAATTCGACACGCAATGGAAACGGGCAACGCGAGTTCAAGAGCGGAGGCTCATCAACATCACCCAGCAAGAAGAGCTTGATAGTTCACCGATCGGTGCGATATTCGTTTTAATCACCAAGAAAAGAAGAATACGAAGCAGGTGTTGCAAATTACTCAAAGGGGCAAAGCATACATACGGAAGCTGAACAGGGTATCGGGTCGTGCAACAGCGATCCACAATGACGTACAACAGGCGGTGGTTCGCAGCAATACGCAACAATCCAAAAGAAGCAATCCAGAGTATCACAAACGACACGAGAAGGGTACGGCATCCGAAGCAAACTGAGACATGCGCAAAACGAGACGTGGGTATTCCCAAAAGCAAAGGGTCCTGCAAAACGCAACCAAAACGCCATGAGCCGTGGGGCTTTTCAATCTCTCAGGTATCCCCCAGTGTTTTCCATGCCGCGAGGCTTTCCAGTCTTAGTAGGTATAGTGTGGGTATCCGTGGGGACGAGGTATGTCTGTTCGTAGCGGTAAAGGAGTGTAGGTAGGTTGGTGGGTGTAAGGTAGCTTGTGGTACTGGGAGGTGCCGGTCCAGCGTACTGGAATGCGTTCATATCCGGCGGTCTAGACGGTCGACGCGCGACTTGAAGCCCTTGACAATCTCTCCAATGCGACGGACTTTGTCGAATTCTACTTGGAGCTCGTCGATTTCGCGGAGGATGGCGCGGAAGCGGGCGATTTCAGCGTCGGCCATTTGCATGGCGTTGCCGGCGCGGTCGTACTGTATTTGGGTTGCTGTTTGTGTCTGCTGGGTGAGCTGGCCATTGTCAGTACTACACCACTAACAATCGACACCGTGTGAAGCTATGAACATGACAACTCACATACTGCCAGCGCTGCTGGATGGAGTACATCAGACGGTCAAAGTGGGCGCTGAGCGCCTGCAAACTAGAAGGATCCAGGAGGAGACGGCCTTGGCTGGAGGCGTGAGAGGCAGCGCGCGAGGAATTGGAGCCTTGCTGCGAGGCGGCAATTTGCTGCTGGAGATATCTGCTCTCGCTCGAGTTGAGGCCCAGGTCAGACACTGGGATGGCGGACATGTGCACATAATTATCTTAAGAACATGGTCGATCGGGAAGTCTGCGCCCTGGCTTCCGCGTGTGTGACGGCTGGAGAGGATGCGGGCGGAGCAATTGTTACTAGTGGGCTACGACTGCTGGGAAACGTTACAGCAGGCCTGCGTGGAGGAGGAAGGGGAAATATGCACGCTGATGTGGTTTGGGATCAAAGGGCGAGTGAGATGCGCCAAGCGGCCAGTCCGGCTCTCAAACCCTCTCACCAAAAAGCAAAGGCCTGCGAACGCCCATCTATCCCACACCCTCATCTCCTCTTAGCCGGCTGCAGCCCTATGTACTGCCGTCCCCATGCGCCCGTACGCAGCCGCCCTGAGCTGTCGCCCAAGCTGCACATGCTAACATCCGCGACGCAGCGCGTATCGCACCGGGCGAGCAGGCGGTCAGCGATTTCACCCACTGCGACATGCTGCTGAACCACGACTGCTTGCTTTTGCGCCCGTACGACCATAGCGCTGTGCCGCACTCGAGCTTGTCACGCCCATTAAAGCGCGGGATAGTGTCTCCGCACCCACACCCTCTCCACAATCAGCGACAAGGATGCATTGATTGTGCCGCGAGGTTCATGGGTGAATGTTGACCCCACCAGCTCGCATCAGGAGGGGTAGGGTACTCCTGGCAGGCAGTGGGCGAACCAGATGCAGAAGGTGACAATGGTATGAGAGCGTGACGACCATGTGCCGCTGGAGGAGCACTCCAAGTATCAAGCCTCCATGTTCCTACTGCCCGTGGTATGGCACGCGGTGCTTCGCCATGGCGTTGGTGGATGTTGTCTTGCCGAGGCTGAATGCATGCCAGGCAATGCTAGCACAATGTCTCCTGAACGCGTACATTCTGTGTCAGCTTTTATGCAAACTCTATGGAGTCAACGAAGCAAAGTTAATTCTTCGTTGAGACAGAGTAAGCTGAACCTTGAATAATTCTAGACTCAATCTTAACATATGCACTGTAAAAGAACTCTTTGTATCATCTGATACAGATAGTTGTAGCAGTCGAAGAAACTACGTAACATACAACACAGCCCTTTCGTGGCTGCATTGCCTGTTAGGAGGATTCTTCGACTGCTACAACCACTAATCAAGATGTTATTCGATAGTCTCTAGCTGCGACAGATACTAACGTTGTCGATCATCGTACAGATACAGAGGTATAAAAAGAAAAGAAAAGAAAGGGGGTATATACATCAAGCCATCCAAACGCTATGCACAAATGAAGGTAAAGAAAAGTACACCCACGCCTTACAAGGCGTAGTTCTCGGCGTGGAGGAAAATCTCATCGCGCCCACTGTCACTCCAGACACTCCTCTGCAGTTGCGCAATCGTCTCACTCACACTAACGCGCATGGTGGGGGGTCCGCAAACGAACACACACGTTCTGCGCCCAAAGTTCTTGCTCAGTCCCTTGAGCAGATATGGTATATCCGGGCGTCCGTACTCGGTGCTCCAGCCATCCTTCTTCTTGACGGCTGCAGGTAGAAATGCGAAGCGCATGAGGTTCTTTTGGAACTCAGTAGGTGTGGACGGGAAACCGAAGTCGAAACCCTGCCCGCCTTCGGTAGGGTTGTGGGAGATGTCCGGATTAATCGCGCCGGAACCCGAAGAGACGGCTTGACTGATGTCGAGGGACAGGTTGCGTTCTTGACGTCGGGCAGCAAGTCCGCGTGGCGCAGGCGCTATAAGATCGGGGTTCGAGCTATGTGCTGATTCGGCAGAGTTTCGCCCGCTATTGTAACTTGGACGTGGTGGTGCGAGGTGGCCCCGATTGATGGGGACCATGTGCGCTTGTGGAAGCGCTGTGATGCTGTCTTCGTTCTCGCGACGCAGTTCAGACTCCTTCTCTGGGTCTCCCTGTGCTTCGTCGCGGATAAGCGCCGAGTGTCGTTTTGAGGAAATACCGGAAACACCGGAAAGGCGGTGGTCGGCGATGTTCTGGAAAGCATCGTTGACCTTGTCGTGAAAGAACATCGACACAGGACGGGTAGGCGTCTTTGCGCTGACAAGTCCGCCGTGTGGGTTGCGCTTCGCAGCGGTAATGTAGAATTGGCACTCGACCGTCTCGGGAGGCGCATACTCGCGGCAGATGCGCAGTTCTTCTTTGAACCACTCCATGGTTTCGGGACGCTTGAGGGCCCAGATCACATGGATCTTTCTGGTAACAGCCTTGCCATCGCGCATGTTCTTGATAAGAGACAGCAACTGCGAGACGATGGCAGTGATACCGCTGCCTCCAGCAATGAGTACGACGTCATCAAATGCCTCAATACGCCTCTGCATGCCTCCATACGGGCCATCGACAAAGGCACGGTATGTGTGCCATGGGCCGTGATCGAGAGCGTTGTTGAGGACCTTCCTCGTGAAGCCGCCGAATGGGCGGAAGACGAGGACCATGTCTCGGTAGCCCTCACCGTACTCTGAAGGGAAGTCCTCGCTGCATAGCGAAGCGATCGTGAAAGGGTGGTTTTCGAAGACCGAGATTCCAGGCATGCGGAGATAGACATACTGTCCGGGTCTCCACCGCATCTTGGTCGGGATAGTGATCTTGATGGCGTTCTCCGGCATGAGCGTGACGGCGGCCTCATCGCCAATGAGCCAGGATAGCTGGCCTGGGCGAGTCCAGTTCAGATAGAATAGGCGCATGAAGTAGGAGAGGAGCCAGATTCCCAGAGTAGACAGTAAGTAGTGCCATGACGTTAGGTAATTGTTGCAATGCCAGAACATCATTCCGAGGAAGACAATGGCAACGGGTACGTGCAGAGCCACGAAAAGTTCGTACATTCGGTGGCGGAGAGGCGCAATAGAATGCGTACATAGGAAGCACAGTGGCACGAGTGCTGCAATACCTGAAAACTGTCAGTACTTGATCCGTCATTGGGGAGGGTAGTCGTACCAGTTCCGTAAATGTACATCCCGCTCTGTTGCTGAAGTAGCTGCTGGAACGCTTGCTGCGCGCCCTTCTCCCAGACGGGTGTAACGTAGAAGGGGACAGTGTGCAAGATGCTCAGCAACAGGCAGATGTACGCCGCCCATCTGTGCAACACATTCAATCGCTCATGGCTAATGCCGGTGATCATCGAGATGAGATTTGCCTTGGTTGCGAGCGC